AAAAAAAGAAAAGAATACCAGTGTTGGCAAGGATGAGGAACAATTAGAACTCTCGTACACTTGCTAGTGGGAATGCAAAATGGTACAGCCACTATGGAAAGGTTTGGCAGTTTCTTATAATAAACCATACACTTACCAATTGACCTAGCAATCCCACTTCTAGGTATTTATCCAAGTGAAATGAAAACCTGTGTTCACACAAAAAACCTATATGCAAATATTTATAACAACTTTATTTGTAATCACCCAAAATGGGAAATACCCAAATGTACCCCAACTGGGGAATTTATAAACTAAATGTAGTATATATACAATAGAATATACTCAACAGCAAAAAGGTATGAACTATTGATTCATACAATAATACAAATGAATTTCAAATGCTTTATGTTAAGTGAAAGAAGCCAGATACAAAAGGACATCTAATGAATAATCCCATTTATATGACATTCTAGAAAAGACAAAACTGTAAGGACAGAAAATAAATCAGTAGGTGCCTGGGCTTAAGACTTGGGAGAGGCTTTTTGTTTGTTTGGCAAGGGATGGAACTATCCTGGATGTTCACTGTGGTCATGGTAGGTATATGACTATGCGTTTGTTAAAATTCATAAGACTTTTTAACAAAAAGAATGAATGTTATGGTATATAAACTTAAACATATATATATATATAAATACATCCATATATACCTACTTTAAAAATGATATAAAATGTTTTACCCTAATTTTTCACTTCAAACTTTAAATTATTTTATAGATAACACAGTAGAGCATCCAAAGAGCATACAAGCAAGGAAAGAGTTAATGATTAATGGTTTGAATTTTATTCAGAGGGAACTTTCATCACAGTCTTTAGGAGGCACATATTTTTTTCAATGATTAATCTAGCAGAAGAAAATGGAAATAATTATAATGTCCACCAATAGGGAACTGGTTAAATAAATTACATCATTTCCAACAAAATACATAGATCGCCTTAAAAATGAGGGATGTCTATATTTGCTGATTTGGAAACTATAAATTTATTGAATGCTTAGTAAAACTTTTAGTCCTCTTTGGCAACTTTTTTTATGAAAAAATAAAGGGCAGGCTGAGAGTAGTGGCTCACTCATGTGATCTCAGTGCTTTGTGGGGCTGGGGCAGAAGGATTTCTTGAGATGAGGAGTTTGAGGCCAACCTGTGTAACATAGCAAGACCTCGTCTCTAAAAACATTAAAAAAATTAGCCAGACAGGGTGGTACATGCCTGTAGTCCTAGCTACTCAGGAGGCTGAGGCAGGAGAATCACTTGATCCCAGGAGTTGGAGGGTGCAGTGAACTGTGGTTGGGCCACTGCACTCCAGCATGGATGATAAAGCAAGACCCTGTCTCTAAAAATTTTGTTTTAATTTTAAAAATTAATTTTAAAAAGGGAGAAAGTAAAGGGCATATAGGATAGTGCTATGAAGAGTATTTGCAATGGAGGTTATATTGGGCTAGGGCAGGTGAAGCATTTCTGGGGAGCTGGCAGAGTTCTCCTTTATAACCTAGGTGGTGGTTATAAAAGTAATCACCTTATTGTAATGTTAATCTTTATAGTTGTTTCATGTGGTTTTCTCTATCTGTGATATATTTTATCACAGAAAGCTTTAAATAGAGAAAAATTTCAAAATATATTTAATTAAGTAAAATGAACATCTGTGAACCTACCGCCTACCCTAAGAGCTGGCACATTACTAATGATGTATATCTACTACCTGCACTAGAGGTAATTGCCATCCTGAATACTGGGCCAATCTCTTCTTTTTTTTTTTTTTTTTTTTTGAGACAGAGTCTTGCCCTGTCACCCAGGCTGGAATACAGTGACGTGATCTGAGCTCACCAGAACCTCCAACTCGCTGGTTCAAGCGATTCTCCTGCCTCAGCCTCCCTAGTAGCTGGCATTATAGGCATGCGGCACCATGCCCAGCTAATTTTTGTATTTTTAGTAGAGACGGGGTTTGACCATGTTAGCCAGGATGGTCTCCATCTCCTGACCTCATGATCTACCTGCCTTATCCTCCCAAAGTGCTGGGATTATAAGGCGTGAACCACCGCACCCAGCTTCTTTTTTTTTTAATAGAGACGGATTTCTCCATGTTGGTCAGGCTGGTCTTGAACTCCTGACCTCAGGTGATCTGCCCACCTCAGCCTCCCAAAGTGCTGGGATTACAGGCATGAGCCACTGTGCCCAGCCCAGCTTCTTCTTTACTTTTTAAGCTTTATCTTCTCTATATAAGGTATGCTTAAGCAATATATTTATTTATGAAAAGGACATTGTGCTATATGTTATCTTCTGGGCTTTTTATTTTTTTTTTTTACTCAACCTTATGCTCTAAGAGTCACACGTTTTTGTAATTAATTTATTCACATGCTATATATTATATATATAATATATATTCTGCAAATATACCACGATTTCTCTATCTATTCTCCAGTTGAAGTTCTTCTAGATCTATTCCTGGAGTCAAATTCTCCAGGGCATTTGGATTAGATTTATTTATTTGTAATGACTGAGAATACCACCAAAAGTGTTTTTGTTTTTGTTTTTGTTTTTTTTAAGTAGCTGGGATTGCAGGTATCCATCACCATGCCCAGCTAATTTTATTTATTTATTTTTTTATTTTTTATTTTTAGTAGAAAGGAGTTTCACTATGTTGGCCAAGCTGGTGTTGAACTCCTGACCAGGTGATCCACCCGCCTCAGCCTCCCAAAGTGCTAGGATTATAGGCGTAAGCCACTGGGCCTACCCAAGTGTTATTTTTAAAATTAAAAATAGAAAAGAAATGTGCACAGACAGGGTACTAAGCATCATATCGATTCAATT